GTGATAGTTACAATACATCACATAAAGATAGTAATATTTCAAAATTTGTATCTATCATATACATTTCCCTTCTTACATTTACTAAAGAGCCAACCAATCCTAATTTTATGCTACTCAGCAGCATAATTTTTTATGTTACCTGTTTCTCTTGTCCCTCACTAACTGTGCCTACCCTGGCACAGAGAACTGAGAGAAATTTGCCTGCTTCAAGAGTGGAAAATTATGTTTGTTTTTGTGCTTCATACATGAACACATTTCCCAGCCCTCCATTAAAACTTGGAATATAATCATTACCTACAATACTGGTACAAATTCAGCTGCTCTTTCCTGGTTGCTTCTATTAAAAATAATGCCATTTGCCCCCAGTAATGTTGGATTGGCCCAATAAACCTGAAAAAAATAATTATCTTCATATCAGGTATTTCCTGTCATTTGTCAACCACCTTTAGGAGCTGAAGAACATTGTGAAGACTTCACACCACATTTAGTAAAATAGATGCCAGGAAAAAAAAAAAAAAAGAGAGAGGGAGAAAGAAGGAAAAAAAAAAAAAAAAAGCCCAAAAAGAAATCTTTGCTGCTTTTATAAACAATACATCATTAACATATGAATAAAATGCATATTTGAATTTTCACCAACACAACTGTTTTCACAGTAAAAAACTGAAGTCACTGTTCCTTTAGAAAGTGCATGTTGTTTATAGAAATAGTCTTAACACTTAATGTCTGGCAAAGCTTCAAACTGAGAATCACATTACATTGGTAATTTTAACTTTATCATCTTAAATAGATCCAGTTCGGATGTATGAACACAAGCAGAGCAGGACAGCGCTCAAAGAGCTGCCATTAAGCAGTCTTTATTCTGTCCCATGAAGCTTTGTAATTCTTTCTGTTATTATTAATAGCTGTTAAGTGCTGACAGCATGCTTGGCACAGAATGAAACGTATGAGCATACATGGTTCTTGTTAAGGGTGGCCCTCGGGAGGCCATTTACTGTGTGTAACAACAACAACAACTTTATTGGAGTAGTAACCTACTCACACAGCTGCAGCTCGGGTGTCAGGAGATGTCGCTGTTTAGACAAAATAGGGATGTGCACATGCATGTAGATATAACGCCCTTAGGCATCAATTTCTGTCTTGGGTAACAGGGTTGGAAGCATTTCTCATGAGCAGACAAGACTTTCCAAGGTAACTGAAGAGTGTCTGGAGCCCAGAGTGACATTTTTGCTTGTTTTCCTCCCTCAGCAGCGGGTGTGCAGAGCACTGGGACAGGCCAAGCATTTAGGAGCAACACGGGTGCTGGACACGCTGGTGTGACACAGGGGGCAGGCAGGAGGATGAACTGTGAGGACAGAGTCAGGGATACTGCTGGAGATTGCACAGCTGATGGGTACAGCTATGGGGTGACAAGAAAGAGCAGAAAATGGACAGTGAGAATTTAAAGGGGCTTCAGAGGTGATGCAGGAGGCAGTTGCAGGCCCTGAACCCAAGACACCTGGAGGGAGCTGAGCTGGTGCTCTAGGTTTGCAGGTGGCATTTACCCCCCAGCTCCTGATCAGGTGGCTGTCCAGTGTCCAGAGGAGATGGGAAGGCTCCCTCATGCGATGAGGCTGGTGCTCACACCCACCAGAAGGTATGGCCTGACACAGAAATGCCACAAAGGCAGGGCTGGCCATCACCTCCTGTCTTCTCCTTTGCACCTGCCCTTATGCAATGCCCCTGTGTCCAGGTACAGCTCTTGATATTGCAAGTGGGACTGTTGTGTTTGCTTCTGCTGCTCCGAGGCTCTGCTCTACTGCTCCAGCCACAGCCACAACCAACCCCACGTTAAGGAAATGTTGCTGGGGGATCCTGATTTGTAAGCACAGGGGATAAAGCTCCCTAAAATAAACTGCTGCACCATGTGGGAGACAGGTTACCCATTAACCTGACCATCCTGATTCTGGTTACTGCCAGCAGCAGGAGCAAGCAGGTCCAACCAGCTCAAATAGTTCTCTTGAAACTGCTGTTTCATCTTGGTTTCATGGTAATTGCCCGGCTGGCTTGTTTCCTGCTGCACAAAACCCTCCCTCCCCCTTCTACATCACTTGCTCTTCAACACTTTCTAGCAAACGTCATCCCCTCTTCACAGTCTCCCTCCTAACTCTGACTTTAGAGATGGCTGCTTTTGAGGTACCTTTGCCAGATCATCAGAAAACTGGCTGAAAATCACATAGCTTTAAGGTGTTACAGCTGGGTTCTCCAAAAATGATGAATTTAAAAGTCATTAGTCACCTATGGCCATTTAAGCTATAAAATATATGCATGAAATAGATTATTTAACTTCAAGGGAGAACCCTTGCTTTCCATACTCCTATGCATGGTGCTCCTGGCACTGTTAAATCTCTGCTTTTCTGCAAACACATTGATTATGTCTGGCATACTAAAACCTGAATTTTCAAAGCCTGTTCTCTGTATAGAGTGTCTAGAAGAGTTACAACCATTAGATCATTATGTATGTGCATTGCAGGGATGGTGTATGCGTGCTGGGGGGATTTCTGCAGGAACTGAATTGTGACTGTGCAGGATGAGTTAATTTTCCCACTCATTCCTCTGCGGGGAATACGCTCTCATACCTCACACAGCAGCAAAGCATTATTCACAGACAGACACCATGGGGGAGATTTTTCCAAAGCACAGGAGGGATCTGAGATTATAGGTACCCTGCCCAGGTCCTGGGACCTGCCTCACTGCCACAGCCATGAGACAAGAGACCCAAGTGCCAGTGAGGTTACAGCTGGTTGCCTCGGGGTCTGGCAGTCGTGCAGTGGGGGCAGCATGGAAGGCTGAGCAAACTGTTTGAAAAGCTGAGTAAATATTCAAACAGTTCACCCATGATGCTACAGCTGGACTACTTGGAGTGCCAAAGTTGATTTTCAGCTGTGCTGCATCACATTGAAGTGGCTCCGGAGCCGGCATCCTCCCCCCTCCTTGCACTGCTAAAGATGCTGATAGAATCTTAGTCTAAGGAAAGACAAATGATACAACATGCTAACTGATCCAAAAGTGGCTCATTTCCTAAAGAATTTCTGGTTATGACAGCAGAAATAATATATCTGTTATGAGATAGTGAATAGGAAGTACTTTACTGAAGGGACTTACATGTCCACAGTAAAATCAGAATTTGTATATCCTCGTTTTCTCCTTTATTTCAAATAAAATTCTAAATTAAAAAGATGTGAGGATAGAGAAGTTGTCTCCCTCACACTCACTGTTTACTACAGCTTGCCTCATTTCACATCATCGTTGTTCCTTAAACCCAAGGTACTTGGACATTATCATTCTACGTCTTCAACAAGGCCTCCATGTAAATGTCTTAAATCACTGTTTTTTGTTTTCTTTTGTGCTTGAGCAGAGTATGCTTGGGTTTTGTTTGTTTGTTTTCATTTTTTCTTAAATACTAGAAAGCTCTTACTATGATTACTACATCATTGTAGTAAGGAGAACAACCTACAAGCTACTTTATCTACCATAGAAGTAGCCTCTATATTGCTGGTTTTTTTTTAGTAAAAAAACATTTCAGGGTCATGTTCTCACTCCCTAGTGTTGTTGCAGATAGGATGGTCATAAAAGCATTTCCAAGCAGCCTCTGAGAAGAATTAAACATAGAGTTGCAATGCATCCTAATTAAGGGACAAAAGAGGCCTGGCAATCCTCGTGGTACTTAGTATGTCATCTTCTTCCTATCTCTTAAACCTAATAATTTGAAAACCGCCACTATATTGGAGAGTTATATCTGCTATAACTTATGTCAACTTGGATCCCCCCCCTCCTTTTTCTTAAACAATGTTTGGCAGCCAACTGTGTGTGGAAACTAGACTGTTTTACATTAGTCAGCAGTACATTTAAATCATTCTTACCAAATGATTTACTGTAGATTACAAATTCTTATATGGCATTTTAAGTTAATGATTAGGCAAAGCAATATATCACTAAAATGATTAGTTGCATATGTATTTTGCTTCAATTATTCTAAATTTCTCTTTGCTTTGGAGGATTTCTGATCTCTTATTTTCACCACTTGAAGAAAGAAATATATTCTTTTTTTAAGAGAAAAGGGCAGAGGACCCCAACATTTTTGCCTGTCTTCTCCAGCTATTGCTTAAATCAATAGGATTTTTCTCCCTGCAGGAGAGTCTGAGGAGATGCTGGTAAGTTGCTTAGTGCTCTCCAGACACATATTGGCAAGTGTCAGTATTGCACAGCATTTTGGTGTGTTACCATGTCCAAAAGGCATCAGGAAAAAATGGAGGGAAAAGGATTAAGACTTTATATCAAATGAAATAGTGAATCGGCCATCAGGAAAGATCAGATACTGCATAAAAATATGTAAAGCACAACATCTCATAGGAAAAAGCAGACTGTGCTCATTCTCCATGCACAAACATTTCTGAGGGTTTCTGAAAATTGCACATGTTGTATGACAGTGGAAAAGGGGGATTTGCTGACTGTCTTATAAGTGGACTTTGAAACCAAGGTGAAAGAAAGCTGGAGCACAATAATAAAACAACGCTGTTGCACCAGGTGACTGGCATCTTTAAGAAGAATCAGTGACATAAAATAGATTATTTGTTTGTTTGCCACGGGCCAGGATCCTACAAGCATACAAAGATAACAAGCAACTTTATATTTACAACATATATGAAATAAGGAAGACAATTTCCTCTGTTTCAACAAAAATAAAATCAGTGCAAAGTTACTTGTGTGTAACTGCATGCATATCAAAACATGCGAACCTAACATTGCATCCTCTTGCATGCAAACAGCGGCACAGTTATTGGGTCCCACTGGTTTGGCTGGGGCTGTGTCTGACTGCAAGAGCCCACTCATGTGAGCCTCATGCTTAGCATAACAAGAGCAGACAAGATCTACTTTGCACGCTCATTTCGGCACCAATCACATCTTTCGTTTACAGTTTCAGATGGCTGACAAACAACAGACAGGATAACTGCAATGTTTATTTCATTTATTAATTCCCTTAGCTCTTGCTCACAGCATATAGCAATCAATTAAAGGGGAAAAAAAATACCATAAATGAGGGAGTGATCTGATATTTATTATTGACATCTGCTCAGACTTCCCTATTTGTTCCTCAGGTTTCCAACCCATTCTGTAACAGATCAGACCTTGTAAACTCCTCAGAGAAGTCTACCTCTGGTCATACCACAGGAGGTAAGCAATTTCCAGCATCATGACTCCTCACAAGAAGCTTTGAAAGACAGGCATCTCTGTCTCCCTCCACTGAAACCAGAGATGTTAGGTCTTCTTCCTTTATCTGATACCAATGCTAAAGAGACCACGGGTGGTGGGAGGTGGTTACTGGAACATGATTTCAGATCATCAGACCATAGTTGCTCCTAGGACAAAACTGAGAAGCAATGCAAATTAGAGGCACAATGTTGTCTGGTGGAGAAGTAGATTTGAGAAGGAGTTCAGGATGAGTGTCCAAAAAGAGGGTTCAAGAGAAATCTTAATCCTTAAGTGAACAAAACAGGGATAACTATAGCAATGTGAGCCTACTTGGGGAAATAAATAAATAAATCATAGATTCTCACTCCATAAAATCATGAAACCATGAAATAATAAAAAATGAAAGCTGTTACAGAAGATAGGCAGCACCTAATTTAGGTCTGGACTGAAATCCAGAGTTCATTATGAAATGCTTGGACCTTAGAAAAGCATACATGCCCTACAAGGCAGCCCAAACAATTCTGACATCAAGCATGGGGTTATAGAGAATGAGTTATAAGGAACGGTAGGGACAGAGAACATCCAAAAATACATCTGGCCTTCTTCAATTTAAGGACCTATGAGTATCTGTGTATGAAACTACCTTCACCTTATGTGAGTAACACAGACCAGCGCTCCTTCTGGGTCATTTGGTCCAAACAAAGTTGGGGATTTTCCTTGTGTGAAAATAATGTTATCATTTGCAACATGCATTACAGTATTTACTTTGGACTAGAGGATGGCTTCACTTCCTATTTTAGCTCAGTGACTGGTGGCTCACACTCATGTCTGTTTTACTCATAACAATGTAGACATACATCATTCCTCTTGTAGCTGTATGGGGCAAATAATTTATGATATCTCAGTGAAGGAGTGTGACTGTAGCCTCAAAACCTTGATCAGTTGAGAGGTATGGGGCTTCTGAGGCTTCAAGTTCTCTTTTGAGGAATTAAAAGCATTGTATTAAAAGTAGTAGCAGACCAGGAAGCAGGTACCAGAAACATCCCTGGATGCCCCAAACACAAAGATTGTGAGCTGTGCATCATCTCCCTGACCTTTGTATTAATTTCTGCAGCGCAGCTCAGCTTAATGGCTGAGAGGCACTCATGACAAATGGAAACGTAGACTTCCCATAGGATCTTTCAGCATGTTGGGCAGGGGATGACACTGAACCCAGGTCCCTCACTTCTGTCTCAGCATTGTATATAAAATGGGCTCCATCTTGTCTTTCATGGAGGCAGTGGGCAGTATATTTCAACCAAAATAAATTCTGTCAGAATAGTCACATCTTCCTGGTATCTCTTAGGATGAACTTTAAAATTACCACTCAACCAGGATGCGTAGAGAGGGTTTGTTTAGGGATAAAGCTGGTGAAAGCTTAAATTAGTATCTCAGGCCAAATAGAGGAAAGAGAGAAAGACTGGGCAGTAATCTCTGGAAAATTGTGTGATAGTGCCCATAACAACTGCAGGGCCTCCACCACACCAGCTAAGTCCACCAACTAAGACACACAGGTTTCTCAGTTTTGAACAGTCTTAAGTAAGAACAGTCATAAGGTTCAGAGAAAAGTGACTCAGAATAGGAACTGTAAATATAAACATCGGTAGAGTTACACAGCAGCTAAGGTGGGGTTTTGTGGGACCCATTGCAGTTCCTTCTCAGCCGTCTCTAAATACCTGTGTATTTTGTTGTATACTGCCCCAAGAGATTACCTAAATTGTCCAACATTATACAACAAGACAGTGATGACAAGACACCTCTAGGCACTAGATTGGGTTGTTTTGGCTTCCAAAAAGGTGAAGTCTAGTTACAGCTTTGTGCTCACTACCCTGTGAGTTAGAGGAAGGACAGTATTTGCTGAACAGTCTCCCTATAAAGGCTCAAGACAAGGCTCAAGACACAGTCCTCATGGATCTCTCTTTTTTTTTTTTTTTTTTTTTTTTCAGCTAAAACAGCTGGATTGAGCCTTAAAGTATCTTTGTTAAACTAGTTAATAGATTATTGTCCAAAGTAAACATATTTCAGTAAGTGCAAGACTGTTTTCTTTTTTCCTCCCTCTTTCCGTCTTTTGTTCAACTTCAACTCAGCTATTTATGATTCATTTCATGAGACACTAGGTTTTCTCTGAAGGCACTAAAAAGGACCAGAGCTATCAAACAGTTTTAGTGACTAGTACCAACAAGGAACTGTTTTCCTCCATGCTATAAAACAGGCACTGTCAATAGACTACAACCGGCAATAAACTATTAAAAAAGGAATTTATGATGGCTACTTATTATCCTCCTGAAATAATGTTGTTACAAGGCTGCCCTTTTCAGTCATCCGCACGGATCACATGGCAGATGTCTAACAAAGGGAAAGGCCCAGATCCACAGGGAACGGCTGCAAATAGCCCAGGAATTGCCCCACGTTACATGGGCACACACTGCACCAGGGTTTCAAAGCAGCAGAGCAATTGTCCCACGTTGGACTTCAACTCTTTATACACAGGCGCTTGGTTTAAGGTGGGATCGTAATGAAGTGTTGTGTAGTACATATTGAATCATTTTAATGGCTAAATATCAAATTATGTAGAAATGCCTATTATTGTTTAGAGAGGAATTGGTGAAACACCCAGATAAAATAAGAAATGTCACAAGCTGCAAATGGAACCAGATCTGACTCGTTTTTTTTGGATTTCTAAAAAGTTTCTGTTCTAGCACTCATCCCTTCTTCTCCAACCCCATAACAGGCTTTCTGCTTTGCTGAAGTGTCCGCCTCCATTAAGGCTGACATTTGACTATGGTATTGATCTGTAGTTGCTATAAATTGTGGTATACCACTAGCAGCAATAGAGTCTTACTCCAATTAATGAACTCTTATGTTCAATAAACATTCTAGAAAGAAGGGGGAAACAATATAGCTCAACCTTCAGAGTCATTTGGGCTGTCTACTTTGTTATCTGGACCTTCATCCATTGTGCCTCCAGAACGAAGAACTTGCCAGAATGCCAGACTGGAATCACATGAGCCACAGTCAAGGCTGAACACAGCCCTGGGGAGAAGCCTCCTTGTACTGAATCCTAGGTGAAAAGTCCTAAACGCCTGTAGGGAAAAGAAGGAGGTGGTTTGAAGAGATGAAATGGAAAATGACTTCAGGGTCTAGAGGAAAGAAAGTCAGGCAGGGCTGAGAAAAAGAGCAAAAAATGAGTTGTGGAGAAGTGGGGTGTTAAGGGGAAGCCACAGGTAAAAAAAAAAAAAGAAACACAATTGCAGTACCAAGCCCTCTGAAAGTCCTTGTAACTCACCATAGTGTTATGAAGGGCATTCCCTCTGTCCTCTGTCGCTGCAAACTCTGTAGCTGACTGGTATCCTGTCCTTTGGGCAGTTCATCTGGGGAAGAGAAGGACCATATATTGCAATATCAGTTATTACCCTGAGAATACAATGCTTATCCCCATGAAAATAAAATAATAATAATAATAATAATAATAATAATAATAATAATAATAATAATAATAATAATAAAGTACCATTAAGGACTTTTGAAAAAGAGTTTTGTTAATTTTAAGAACTCCAAACAAGGGATGTGCATGTCGGGAAATGACATGCAAAGAGAACTAAAACTAAAACGACCCATTTCTCTACAGAGACGTCCTTATAAATAGAGTCTCCATGCTAAGAGCAGTGGCGAGCATGAGTTAAAGGGCTGCTGAGGTTATAACGCCGGGTTTACAATGTGCTCGGTTATTATTTCACAGCAAAGGAGACAGCCCTGCCTGTGATTGTCCCTTGCTGGCTTCTTGGCTGAGCAGCTCAGCTGTGTCAAGACCGCATCTGCAGGGCGAGGGGAGCAGCAATTAACGCGCCAGGCAGGACCAAACGCGAAGCGGCGCATCCCGCAAAAACCACTGAGACCGGGAGCTGCTCGTTCGCCTCCAGGAGTGCCCGTTCACGTAAGCTGCTTCTCCGTAAGTTTAACAACGGGGACGACAAAACCACCTTTTGTTTTCCGCGGCACCTTCGACCCCTGCCACGCTCCCACGGTCCGCGAGCGGAGCGGGGCGTGCGGGGGGACCCGGCCCCGCACGGAGCCCACCCTGCGCCGCCAAGCGCCCCCTTCCCCGCCGACCCCCGCCGCGAAATGCGCTCGTTAATCATTATCTGGCTCTCCTTGCCTGCGTTTGAACGTCTGAAGCGAAAAAAAAAAAAAAAAAAAAAAAAAAAATCACCTTTCATTTAGCCCGGAGAGGACTGCAGTAGGGAAAAAAAAAAAAAAAAAAAAAAAAAAAACAGGAAAGAAACTTCGAGCCTATAGTGCTATGGTATGGCAGAATTTTTTTAAGCAAGGGGCTTTGGAGGCAATTAAAAAAAAAAAAAGTGTTTAAGTGTGCACGAACAGAGAGAACCACTTAATTAAAAGCATGAAAAGAGGACGAAAGACCACACTCGTTCCTGCTTTTTGGTAACATATGCCTATCCTATAATTGCCTGTAAATAGCCACCGCAACAGCAACTCAGATTAGTGGCTTTCTGGGCGAGGTATGGAAACTCTGACGACTTTAGCTGTCGAAAGCTTACGTGAACTTTTACTGTACCAAGTAAAAAAAAAAAGAAAAAAAAAAAACTATATAAACGCTGGCTCGCAGCGATATTTTTCCAATTATCACCTTGGCAAGATACAGTTCCCTGCTTCCAAAGCCGAGCTCTGCCTCTCCAGCACGGGTTTTGCACTCTCCCGAGCCGGCTCCCCTTCCCTCCCTCCTTCTCCCCAGCTTTCCATGGGTTTATACGAATCTCCCACAAAAATGCCCCCGGGTCTCTCCTCGCGGTGCTCGGCGCTGCCGGGCGGCGGGGCTGTGTCGGAGCCCACCCGCATCCCCCGGGGCACCAGCGAGCCAGGGGGCAGCGGCAGCCGCTCCCCCCTGTCCTCCAGACGGGCTCGCAACCCTCTGTGAGAGGTAGCCCCCCGCCCAGCGCCTCGCTGAGATGCCGCACAGTTGAGGAGAGGGCTGCGGAGCGGACCCTGGGGATAGGGGGACAAGGAGAGGGTCCCCTGGACAGCGGCGGGGTCCGTGGAGCAGCTTTCCGGGGGAAATCCCGGGGAAATCCGGGGGAAATCCGGGGGAAATCCTCGCCCCCTGGCACCGGTGTCTCCTCCGACGTCCTGGGAGTAGTGCTTTGGGCGCACCACGGTCGTGCCTTCCCGGATCACAAGGTTTTCCGAGGGGGACTAACCGGGAGATGGGAATTTGCAGCGAGTGGTGCATGTAGCACACCGTTGTATGACATTAAAAAGCACCAGATTAGGTGGCTACATAGACAGCTTGTTTCGGGCACGAGTATAAGCACGCTAAACTGGAACAAATTCCTCCCTCCCCCGAGTGCCACGGATGCTCGGGAAAACATTTGCTCCTGGAAATTCATCGCCTTCTTCCCTGTAAGGGCTCCGTCAGGTTGTCAAAAGGCACCCACGGGGCATTCCCTCTGTGTGTGCAGCACCGGGCAGATCTCGGAGCTCAGGAGCATGCAGACCTCATCTAGTCCATCTGGCCGTGAAAATCTGTTCTTAAATACGCGTGTGTTTTTGCAAGACGGGGTTTTGCATTACCTGTTGACTGGGGACACGTATACAGAGGAAGCTTTCGATATAATGTTGTTTTCGCTCACAGTAAATCCCATATGTTGCAGACAAATTCTTACCAGCTGGGAGGGCCAGAGCAGTAAAATCCAGTAATTCTGTTTCATCATAAATCAAGTTTATGAACTGTAGTACAAGGTATATAACTCTGGAAGTTGCTCTCTTTAGTGGTAAAAGGCTGCTGAAATGTTCGACAGTGGCATTGTCAAATTCCCTTTTCCACCTAAAACTTGACACAGGATAATTCTTACAGCGATCAGCGTCTCTTGCTTAATCTGGGAGAAAACCTCCTGGCAAAAACTGCATTAGACGAATAGAAAAGTAAAACTCTGAGTGTAACATGTAGAATAAAGTCCCCGGGCGCGGACGCTGCAGTCAGCCTACATTTCTTTTTTGCCCATTTGTTACCAAATGTGTGCAGGCGGCTGGCCGTGGCGGGCTGCCACACAGCTATAGCCAAAGAGTAAGTAACCTCGCTCAAAAAGAAAATGTAAAAATACCCGCTCGAATTTCGTTATAAAGGGGTCTTTCCCCTGTCTCTGTACTTGCGATGTGTAAAACAATTTCGGAAGAGAATTATGCCTGCACAGTATCTTCCAGACAAATCTCAACACAATGTACGTGGTATTTCCTCCTCGCTATTAATTTCTTAGTGACTGATTCTGAAGCTTTTTAGAAAAAGAAGGACTGCAGGAACAAACCCGTGCTGTCCTCTCACTTGTGCTCGCAGACTCTGGAGCAGACTGGGACGAGTTGTGCCTCTCGTTCGATCTCTGGATTAGCATCTACACCGAAGTTAAACACGTCTTGTTTGGGGTTTGATCCTGCATTAGGAAGGTTGGGGAGGTTATCCAGGAGTTTCTGGAGAATTGTAATTTGGCACATTGTTTGCTCTTGTGTTTTTCATGGCTGTATTTATGATTCTAGGAATTTTTCAGAACGAAATACGATCTTTAACAACACCCCGAAGATTATATTATCATCGTTTCAACCACGGTTATTGCGACTACCACCAATAAAACCAGCCCAGCAGCGCACAACGCCGCGGTGCTACAAGATAATAGAAGTTTTCTGTAGACTTCCCCGAGTCCCGGCAGACAGGGTAGGGTCTCTATCGGGGCTCTGCAGCTTGTCAAAACTTGTCAAATCAAAGGAACTGAAAGTGGGGAGGCAAGGGACTGGGATTTTGCAGTGTAACCGTGGAGCTGGGCTGGAGGTACTGGGTTTGCCCATGCCAACGCGCTGGTGAGGCTTCGGCGGGCATTTCGGCTAGGAAACACCGCGGTTAGGTTGCCGACTTCTGTCCACAAAATTACCCTAAAGATTCTCGTGTGAAACAGCTGTCAAGATTTTACCCCTGGGGAAAAGAAAAAAGAAACCACACGCCACACACCCACTCACCCACACACCGCATTTGAATGACAACCTGTTTTATGCTGGGGACCCCCGGAACTCTCAAAGAGGTGTCTCTTGCGTTTGAACTAGTTTAGAGATCCTTTAACTTAATTATTGTTCTCTTTAATAATTGTTCTTTTTTTTCCCTCCCGAGATTTATTCACAGAAGAAGCCCCACAGATATCCCCAGCCGCCTTGGGAAAGCACAGAGGCGTGCCGCCTCTCTCCCGGTGAGGCTTGGCTCGCACTTTTACGTCGTGGTGTGCTTGTTTTAAGGTTTCTACATCCCAACCCGCCCTCGGTATTTCTGTGCAGCGGAGGAAAAAGGAAAAGAAAAAGACCACCGCCGACCCACAGCCCCGCGGCTGCTCTCGCCCCACAGCCTGGTGCTGCGCCCGCGGCGCGGGGGCGAGCGGAGCTCTGATGTGGGCAGAGCTTGCTCTGTGCTTGGGAGCTACGGCGCCTTTCTTTCTTTTATTTTTTTTTCTTTTTTTTTTTCTTTAAATTTTTCTTTTTTTTTTTTTCTTTAATTTTTTTCTTTTTTTTTTCTTTATTTTTTCCTTTATTATTATTTTTTCTTTATTATTATTTTCCTTTATTATTTTTATTAACGCGCTTATGTGACTGGAAATATATATCAAAATTCTTTATGTAGGGCACTAAGTGTATGTGTATATTTAGGCTAGCTGCTGAAGAAGTCCAGGACAAGCAGGAAGAGAGCTGCTCTCCTCTCTGAGGTCGGCGTGGCACTGTAAAACACGACGGGGAGAGTAAAAACTCCGCAATCCGCTTCATCCCTCGGTGCGCTCTGAAGTCAGCCGGCTTCTGGGTGTCTGGGATTTTACAGAGACATAACAGTTTAATTTTTTATTTTACTATTATTTTCTTAACCGAAGCGAGCTCTAGCGGCGTGGTGTGCCGAGCTGCGATCAGACCCATTACCTTTACCACACAAATACGATATTTTTTTTTAGCGCGAAGGTTCAGCTCGCCCGATCGAGCCTGCCCTAATGCGAGGCAGAAGAAGCAGGAGACAGGACCGGGCAGAAGACAGGAGGCGGCCGGGAAGCGCTTTATTAGATAAGTGTATTAATCTGGATCCCAGCTGTATTTGCAGCGTTTTCCAAGATTCCTTTCTTGTCGGATGTGGGCTCCCCTAATTAATCACTCATGCCGTTGTATACATTACAGCTCAAGAGTGTAATTTTAGTCAGCCGTTTTTGAAGCGCTCCGCTCTCCCCATCTGATGTGCATTTGCCCGCTCGGCGCGGGCCGGGGCTCACACACCGCCGCTCCCCTCGCCTCGCCCCCTCCGCCCGGGGCAGCTCCGCCGGGGCTCCCTCCGGGGAGCCGGAGGCGGCCGAGGGCCCTCGGTGCGCCCGTTACGGCCGTTACGGCCGTTGGGGCAACGGCAGCGCCGCCCCGCCGCTGAGGCGGAGCCCGCCTGTGGGGGCGCGGCCATGGCGGGGCGGCTCCGCCTGAGGAGAGGCGGGCGTGAGGCGAGGCGAGCCCGCCCCGCTGCGCTGCCGGCGGCTGGGGACGTCTCACCTCATCTGTCACCAGTTCTGCTCGCCTGCCCAGCTGTCAAAACAGGGGGTGTCTTTTTCATTCCAGCTCACAAAGTACCAAAGGGGAACGGGGCTTTAATGCCTGTGTTTGGACACAAGCAATTATCCCTAATTATTGTTTTTCTTTTCAGCCTGCCCGTCCCGCTGGAGAGCCAGCAGATGAGCATGCCCTAATCCTCCCCAGTCGGCTGATCTCAGTGGGTTTTGCGGGACAAGCCGGGCGAGAAGGCTCCGTGGCTTTCATCTCGATGTGAGTTTTGAACTGATTGAAACTCGTTGCGATGGGAGAATTAACCTCGGAGCCCAGGCTTTCAATGGCCCCTGATAAGAGATTATACGTGTTGATGGCAAGCTTTTCTTGGCAAAATGTTTTCAAAGGGCTCGGAGCTGTTAAATCAAAGCACTATTGAATTGGTGGTAGGCCCCTTTAGAGCTCTCCCTCCTTCTTCATTCCCTGGTGCTATGTGTTGGTAATTACTGGCAGGGGTGGGAGAAGGGAAACAGAAAATCCTCTCGGAGATACACACCCATGCGCACCAGGGTGATGAGCAGCGTTGGCCAGAGAACCACAGGGAAGCCAGAGGAAACTTCTCTTAATCCCACGGAGGAAAACTGCCTAGATGCTCAGGCCAGCACAAGATAAATCCTGTTCTGCTGCCAGTCTCCTTTCACATGCCTGCTTCTTGCTTTCGCAGGGCTGCAGTAGCAATCCAAGGATCTGTGCTTCAGTGTTATTTCCTCCATAATTCACCCTTATTAAAAATTTATGTAAGAAAAAAAAAATCACAGAAAAGCTAGAGAGGCTATGTGGATCTTTCAGCTATGAATATCCATGTGGATGACAAAAGCTAGGTAATACTTAAGATGTGCATCAACCTTGACGAGACTGCTTTAACCAGAGTTTCCTTATTCTCTGTCTGTCTGAAGTTTGTGTACTGAAATTACACATCTCAGTAACGAGTCACCATAACTGTGAACTTTGGATCACATTTGGTTGAGTATTTTCTCTTCCACTGTCTGAGAAAGGGGGACATTGAAAAAGCCTGTGGGCCAAAGCAAAAGCTGTCTGCTCTCAACCAGAGAATCTCTGTGCACTGATTCACCTGGATTTTGTAAATGAAAGTGTGTCTCTTCCGAGACAGTTTAGGGGTCACAGGGTATGGTTCTGATCTTAATTGTGGAAGGCTAACGCCTAACAGAAGAAAAAAGAAAAAAAAAAAAAAAAGGAGAAAAAAAAAAAAAAGGAAAAATGAAGAGGAAATACATATTTTCTACCAGACAGACAATCCACCTCAAGAGAAATGCTTACAAGAATGAGGCACTCACCACAGAAAGCTGTTGAGCTGGAAAAAGAACAATGTTCAGCTCTACTCTGGAGTCTGTTGGCAGGCAAAGAGATGTGTTTGGGTGGGCCAAACCTCTGTTATATGGATATTACTCAGGACTTAAGGACATTCTTATTAAAATAACATTCTGGTTCGATGGTGAGGGAAGTAAATTATTGATATCCACTTCCAGAAACATATGAACACAAAAAGTCTGCTAGAGCTGCTAACAGTAAAATTCACCCTGTCCAATACTGTAGCTTTGCATTGGTAGTGAAGAGGCAGTGGGAGCAGCAGCAGTATGGCAATCATAAAACTGCAGCAGAGCAGGGCAGGGTGATGGAAGCTGGCGTCAGGCAGTGCATGAGTGGAGAGAAATTAATCTGAGGAAGGTGCTTGTTCAGGAAGTCCTTCCACCAAATCCATCAAGAATAGCACTGCAGAGCCAGAACTCCTTTGCAGGTCTGCTTGCCTGGCCCCCATGTGTGTTCACTTGGAGGGCTTGATGGGAGAACACCTGGAAAATAACTTGGAGAGAAGAGATCGGCCTGGCCAGAAGCTGGGCTGCTGTAAGCCTCAACAGCGATGCAGGCACTACAGCTAGATGTCTCAGCAGACGCTCCCAGCTGTAGGAGGAGGCCTGGGTTCAGGTCGATTGGAAGTGTGCACTGAGTGCTGCTAATCACACTACTTGCGTAGCTAGTTTTTCAGATTGATATTTTATTATGTTTGCCATTTTTTTCCAATTATATCACACGTATCTGAAGTCTTTTGTTTAAAATGGGGAGATGTTTTTGGTTTTAGACTGCTCTGCTGCTGTCTTTGGTTCCCAGCTCCTGATCCAAGATTGAGCCAATGTAATTTACCGAAACCTCCAAGGCCTTGAGCTTAGCCACTTTTAATCCCTATAGGTATTTGCCAGAAGAGAAACTTGCCATCTTTTTTTTTTTTTTAATTTATTTAAAAACTTGAGCTACAGTTACTAAAATATTATGATTAAACTGAAAGCAATTGCACAGGCAGTGTGAATGCCAGAACAGTAACCTTTATTTTTTAAGTATAATTAAATTGCCACCAAAATCCCAGTTTTGGGGGATCCAAATGTTTTCTTACAAAACCACTCAACTTGTACCATATCAATAATATTTCCTGCCAACAGATCATTTAGTCGGAGGCTTGGTAGTAATTAGAAAATTTGTTTTTGAGACTATTTTTGTTTTTCATTTGTTTTTGTTAAATGGTATCTCAACAACAACCGGAATGGCAAAATGCATGTTTTGGCTTATTCAGTGCCTACTGTTGACTGGGCCTGTGAGTGCTGTGGGGAAGCTGGGAAGAATAATTACAATTTTACTTGTTCTGACTGTTTGGATTGTTAGAATGTTCTGCAATAGATCGTAGAGAGTTCACAAGCTGTGCAGAGTCTCAGCAGAATTTGTACATTGTACAGGACCTCTTCTTTGGTGAAGTGCCTGAATTGTCACTAAACTGTTGCAAAGCTTGTCAGGAAGAGTGTACCTGCAGAGTTTATACTCTCCACAGAAGCAAACAGCTGCAATGTGGATTTTATAGCTTACAGAGGATGAAAGAAACCTGCAATAGTTATAGTGTATAGTATAGAGTGGCTTTATATATATTTGGCAACTCTGAATAGACATCTGGGGCCAAGGCTGTTTCATTAGTCATTGCTACTTCAGAAATGCCTGCAAGTCCTGTACAGTTAGAAAGTTTGCCACATAAAACAGTGTGTGTCCAATTTATAAAATTAAAGAGATGGTTTCAGTCCCAAAGACCTTAAAATTTATATATTCAGTGAGAAGTGGCAGTTGTATCCAACAAACATATGGTGGAAACGTGGTATAACAGCTATACCTTTATCAGTCCCAGAGGCAGCTGCAGCACACCAGCTCTCAGCCATGGTCACAGATGGACATCTGAGACAGAGGTTGTCTCTTTCACCAGAGGAGAGAGACCCACAGTATCTACAACACAGACAGAGCTTCTGAGGTTCTTGGGAACAGAAAAATATTTTGGGTCAGTAGCTTCTGTGGAAGACTTAAATCATTTTTAGCTATAAGTCAGTTCTGCTTTTGAGCTCTCATTTTTAGTAAGTAGGTTCTTTTTTGAAGGTAGAGTATTTGTAGTGCTATTACTTGTTCAAGGAAAATGTCATTAGAGAAGATTGTTACATTTCTGTTTAGTGTGATGCATTGCAGTGGAGTTTGAAAAAAAAAAAGAGAGAGAGAAAAAAGAAGAAAGGAAAAAAGGAAATACAGAGAAGGAAGGAAGGAAGAAAGGATGGGAAGGAAGGATGGAGGGAGGAAACAAGGGAGGGAAAGACAGAAAGAAAGAGAAAGAGAGAAAAAGAGGAAGGAAGGAAGGAAGGAAGGAAGGAAGGAAGGAAGGAAGGAAGGAAGGAAGGAAGGAAGGAAGGAAGGAAGGAAGGAAGGAAGGAAGGAAGGAAGGAAGGAAGGGGAAGGAAGGAAGGAAGGAAGGAAGGGAGAGAGAGAGAGAGAGAGAAAGAGAGAAGGAGAGAAAGAAAGAGAGAAGGAGAGAAGGAGACAAGGAGAGAAAGAGAAAGAAAGAAAGAAAGAAAGAAAGAAGAAAGAAGGAAGGAATCCTTCCTTCCTTCCTTCCTTCCTTCCTTCTTCCTTCTTCCTTCTCCTTCCTTCCTTCCTTCCTTCCTCCCTCCTCCCTCCCTCCCTCCCTCCCCCTCCTCCTCCTCTCCCCCTCCTCCTCCCTCCCTCCCCCCTCCCTAAATCCCCTCCCTCCCCCCATCCCTCCCCCCTCCCTAAATCCCAAAGAAAAACTGAAGAAAAGAAAGAAAGAAAGAAGATAAAGAAAATCTGCAAGCACAAGATGAGTTCTGTGCAGACCACCCCCATCATCCCACCCCACAGCCATTTTTTTTCTGGTTTATAAGAGCCAAAGGCAAAAATACCCCACCCAACAACAGGTTCCGTAAGCCACAGAGAAGAAATTGCGAGTCATTACATGCAAATACTGCAAGGGAAAGAAATGGTGGGCAGCTGAGTTTAAGGATGTTAAAACGCAGGCAAAGACAAGTTGAGAGTCACAACTGTTGTTAGTGGATTCAGACATTACTCGGTGGCTGACAGATCTTTTGTTGACACCTCTGGATATTTAGTTAACTCTGGCCCACTCTCCATGGGTTATCTTGCTAGTATACAGAGTAATGTGTGCAGAATCAAGTATTCGTTGCAGGGGCAGAAACATGCTTTAATTCACTTTTCTGCTTCCTATATCCATTTCATAACTGAATCTTTCTTCAGAATCTTTTTCTTAATGTCCTGTAGCTATAGCTCAATTAAATCCATTATATTCATTTATTATTTTTTGCAAACTGTTTCTCTCATCCTACTGTTGCTGTGTTAAATAGTTCTTTAAATAGTACCTAAAAACAATAACAACAACAAAAAAAATAATAAAAAAACAAACAAACAAACAAAAAACACTCTAAATACATGGTTCCTAAAAAATCAAATCTCTTTTGATTTTTTTGATTTTTCTCTCACTGGAAAGAATATACTCATTTCCCGTCTCAAAGCTACAAAATCTTCTGCAAAACTTGCCATTTACCCCCAAAACAATATTATAGCTGGCCTACACAGATCCTTCAGACTCTCTTGTACATACAAATGCAGAACTCATACCAACTCATGACCTTCCACACTGGACCTGTGTACACAGATGTACACTGACACAAGTACTTAAAGGATTTCTTTAAAGGGATCTTGCTGGTTGGCTGATGTTTCGAATATTTTGTCACCACAAGGGCCTTTGCTTTCTTAGCAATGCATTCAAACCCATTCATTGATGAGCAGGTACACAGCCTATTCTTGTTTAAAAGCTGGGAGGATGACAAACCTCTCAATCTAAAATAAGCAAGACTGTACAAGACTGTAGGAAGACTGTATACTGTAGGAGACTTCTTCCTTTTTCTTTTTTCTTTTTTTTTTTTTTGAATGGACAATATTTATTGAATATTTATTGAACAGTTTGTCTTAATTCTGATATTTAATTTCCATCCTTTTTATTTTTGTTTTGATAGCCCTCCTTGATCTCTCTCTACCCCACATCTTTAAAGTACCCATGTAAATTTCCCTGGGTATGCATTAAAGCAGAACAGGATTCCTTGTTTGAGAACACAGACATGGCAAGCGGATGGCTGAATGAGTGCAAGTGGGGCTGGATTTTGCAAGCTTGTGCAGCTAGCTGGAGACAGGCAAAGAAATGCATTTTTACATGCAATTATCATGGCACAGCTTTGAAGCTAAGATGATGGCTATGCCTTGTCTTTTATACCCATGGAGGTGAGAACCTAGACAGAAATAAGGGAAGAGGTTGTAGGCATCAAACTTTCTTACATTATAACATAGCTCAAAAACATAGGCATATTGGAAAACAATGGCTTTCTAGCAGAGTGACCAGTTTGCAGCTCACAAACTCTGTGTAGTCTGCAAGCAGCAAGTGCAGCTCCCATGCCTCATAATCAGTGACTAACTGTGTCTATCCCAAATCCCCAGTAAACTGCAATACCATAGGGTTTGAAGAGCCCAGAAGCACCAGGTCATCTTGTGCTGCAGCTTCATATGCAGCCTTGCCATCTCTCCCAGCAGAGCAGCCTTTTGCATATCTCAGGTGCTGCGTTTCCCTCTCTTCAGAGGCACGGAAGTGTGTGATACACATCTTTCAGCTCTCAGTCCCTGAAGACGGTGCCATACTAATTGTAGTATGAGATGCTGCTCGTGGCTGGCCTAAAGATTATAGCACAGGGTTAGGAGGCCTGTCACTCTGTGACATAACGTGAACTTTGACTTTCTTATAAAAATGCAGCAATCCATACTCCCTGCAGAAAAGCAAGGGATAGAGTCTCAATATGCCTGCCAAATTACGCTGCTTCTTGAGAGCACCAGCCCAGACTTGAGTCTAGCCTCCAGCTGCGGCCAACTTCTGAGACAAGGGAAAATGACAACCTTCCCAGACAGAATAGAGTAGCTGCAGAATCCACTAAGGTAGAAATACCTTGTTTTCACATTGCAGGCCTCTAGCCAAAGCTGTAGCACATGACATCTATCTTCAGTGGAGTTTGGTTAAATCTTTTCAATGCATTATATATTTCAGATGCTTTCATTTGAAATACCAATGAGTAATATAATTTCATAACAAGGATATAGTTAATAAGAAATATTTATACAAGTTAATTTTAACTAATATGCATAACTGTTATTTATGTGTGTCATGTTTAACTTACCTCAAGATGAGGAAACACTTTCCTCATTTTTAATAGTCCATAACCCATAAAGAAATGCCCAAGTACAGTGATAATGATAGTTTTAAGACTGCAAAACCGGTGCTCATTGATCTATAGGACTGGGAAAGTAAAACTTTTCCTGTTTTCCAGTAGGGAATTATTCACACAATTGCATTTTTCCTATTTAAATTTTCAGTCTTTAACCTCAGTGTCCAATAAATATTTTTGTAGAAACATGACAATGGAACCCTAAGACACAACTATAGCTAATTGGATGAATAATCACAAAATAATTCATGGGATGAATGTTTCCCTTTTATCTCAATTTTATCGGAATTATTTTAGCAGATGTCGGCATCTTAAATGCAGTTGTTATTAGAAGTGGTTGAGCATGTCTTGAGAAATAATTGTTGAACTTCAAGACATTTATGATCAGCTACAGTGATGATGTGCTGTAGATTAGAACCTAGAAAGCAGATTATTGCAGGCATGCTCAGTTTACAGATGTAGCTGTGTTAGTTTTTGGTGTCCTAGGGAAAAGTATTCTAAGATATTGAAACCAGCTGCTTCTCTTGTTAGTGCACCGGATGCTTATCTTCTTGCTCTATATATCAAAATATCAGTGTCAAAATTTGCCATTACTGCATGAACTGCAGACACTTTGATCTAAAGATAAGATAAGATGGTTCAGTCTGTATTAAGTAGCAGCTGCCCTTAGTGTATTTAAAAATGCAATAAAGTAGAATATTTTGATTATTTTTCTCTAAACACATGACAAGCATGAAATAAAGCAAATTAAGGAAAGCAATAGGACAGTCAACAAATCAACAAATTATCTTAAAATACCAAATGAATTTTTAGAAATTATTTTGATCTAAATATTTTTCCATTTGTAAAAATCTCAGTCTCAGGGGATTTTATATATATACATATATACAAATGTAATTCCGTGGAAACAAAATTCAAAGTGTCATTATAACCTTCAAACTGTAAATTCTGAGTGTCAGCTCACTGCAAATGTTGCTTTGACCCTGTGAAACCTTTGAGATAATTACCAAAACATAAGGTGTAAGATTCAGGAAATATGGAGAACTTTTGAAATGCATCTCTGAAATGACAATGGATCCTCTAAAAATGGGTTTGTAATTTGAGCAAAGTGAGGAGTGGAAAAAGCATGAAAATGAGAGAGGAGGTAGGTGGCAACTAAACTTACATGCAAAAGAAGTGGTATCCATCATTTATTTGAGAATTGAAGAAGTATTTCACACACCTGTATGTTTTGTGGCAGAGGTGGCTCACAATAATTAGAGATCTTGGTGATTCTTTTCTGAGAATGACTACAAAACTGCTGCTCCAAATGCACTTGTTTGACAAAATGCATGAAGCCATTTATCACAGATTGAACTCCCAGATGCCCTCAATACCATCTCCAGTCACCAAAAGTGATTGCAAACCTCCCCTGGGTCAAAGAAAGGCCCATTAGAAGCATTGCTCTCCTACCCATCTGCTGAAACTGTTACTGGGGCAGCTAATTATGTTTCACTCTTTCACTTCCAGAACCAAACACATCTCTCAGTGTCTAGATCATTGATTACACTAGCTGGAAATATTTGCTGTAATCATAGATAGTGAATTTCATCCTTAAAACAGAGAGAATAAGCTTTCCACTTCTTTTTTACTTTGTAAAACTGTTTAGAACTGGGGAGAAAACAGGGACAGCAAATGTACTGCAGGTAAAATGTCTAACTATAGCTTATAATAAATTTTGCGTTCTTGATAGAATTATACTTACATTTCATTTTCATGCCGTGCCATTGATACAGTGTCTGAACATGTCAAGTGCAAAGTCAGCACTTTTTAATCTCTTCAGTACATATTGTGCTGTGTATGGAAATGGGAAAATACTTTTCTGTACTGAGAAATTATTAGTCTTTAGTTAAAATGGATTTAGTAGGAAGCAGTGGCTGGGTTGAAAAAAAAAAATTGCAGTGCTGGGCTGCACTAAGTGAGATTCAGCAAGCAGCAAGCACTCTTCTCTCAGTATCAGAAGTCAATACTCCTGAAGTGTGATAGAGCCATCTGGCACAAAGGTACCTGGATACACATGTCCCACCAAAAGGGAGTTGCACAAAAATCTTGCAGAAGATGGGCTATCTTTGGCTAAAATAGATCAATAAGACTGTGATCACTGCTTATTGAAGCTGGGAAGACAACTTTTTAAAGGATGGAAAGAGTTCTCCAGATGGTCCAGACAGATTTGTGTTGAATTCTTGTCTGCTATTCTGCCTCTCTGCTCTTCTCTTCTTTCAGCTTGTTACAGCACACATACCCTTTCTGCCCCAAACTTTTCTAAACAGATATAACTCATTTTGTTTCATCCAGTAACATATTGTATGCTGATCAAAGTAATTTAATTAGTCAATGTTCTGCTAATTGTTTTGGAAAGATGTTTAAAAGAAGGCAAGCTATTTTTGTGTATATTTCATTAGGATGTCATCCTAACCCACCCCATGTTCTGCGTAATGATAAGGTCAATTAACTTTTATCCCAAATATATTTATTGTCTGACAGCCAGTTGTGAGTATTGATCATGTGCTAGTTACTGAAGTATATTATATTAGATTATTATAATTACAGGGCTATTTCCAAATTTTTCCCTTCCTTGTTTAGTGGCATATTGCAACGGACAGCAGCAATAGGGAGATCACTGCTGTGCACAAAGAAAGTGTTCCAGAAATGTAGTGATTTCTGTAGCATGTGTCATCAGTAGTAAATTGGCGGTATGAAAAGTGTGCTGGGGAAGCTCTTCTAGGGAATTACAACAGCCACAAATGAGCAAGGAAGAGTAGCAGTAAAGCTACATCACTGACAATCAGCTGTTGGATACAGCTTAAACTATTAACAAGTATTTCTGCTGTTATTGTACATGTTAACCTTCATGACCTTCACAACAGCCTTTTATCAGCAAGAATACAGCTGGCTGGCCCAGCTGACTGTACGTTAGGAATAATTAACCTTAGTTATGAAAGCATTGCTTGCATACTTTTCAAAATGCAAACTTGAAAGAAGACAATGTTCTAAACACAGTTTCATCCAGCAGAAATTAGTACAAACATAATACATTTTCCTCAGTGGAGGTTGTCCATAGGAGTCCTGTAAGTAAATTCAGAGAATAACATTATTTGCAAGAAATACATTTCTCAGCTCTTTTCATATTGTTATACTATCCTTGGACAAAGAAAAGTAAGTGGTGGGATGCAATATGAGTTTTCTGATCTTTTTTCTTTGGGTTCTTTTTTATTAGGAGCAATTTCAGCTTATGGAAAACATCCACGTGGAGACAACATGGAACCAGAAATTCTCTGAAGTCATTATCATCGGAAAAGGTCTTAAACCAGAATAATACATTCAGATAAGCCTCCTCTCTTTCTCAGAAAGATATTCTCTTTGGATTCATAAAGCTGTTATTTTCTTTTTATTGCCTCTCCCATAGTTTTGTTGATGGTTTGGTTTTGCATCATCTGATGGAGTTTTAAGCAAACTAATGGAAAAGGGCAAGATAACAAAGACAATTTTTTCTAGGAAGAAAATTTTATGTACCTTTCCCAATATTCTATTGCTTTAAGTTAAACTTAAACTTAAATATTATATGTGATGCTCTTGAAGTTCTTCCAGACAAAACTAGAGAAGATCCTGAGGATTGCTCGTAAATGCTTTTTCTGCATTGTGTCAGAAGTGGCTGAAGCAATTTAGTTACAGTGTACAAGCGCCAGAACCTTTATGGTGTTGGAAAGTTGCTTTTCATGAGCTGGGTGGCCAAAAATGTGCTAAGGTTGGCCCCACTTCACTTAGAGATGACTCCAGATTAAGAACATAGGAGAACCATAATTTGTTTGAAATGCTTGCGTAGACTCCTGTTGGATCTTCAGACATCACTTCTGACATCCTGAGATCTGAAATGCTTAGTTGCAGACAAAACCTGCTCACAATAAGCTAATGAAAAACTTGTTGAATGGGAAGAGGATTGCTACATAGCTCCAAAGATAAGTGTAGGGAAAACTGAAGGGAAAACTTCTTCACCAAGCAGTTGATCATAGATGTAGTTAATCACACAGGCATATTTTCTTTTCTTATCTGCTGGTATATGTGTGTGTTATCAGCCGTGAAATTGGTTACAGCACTGGAAACAACCACTTTCAGAACAGGCTTTGTATCCTTGCTCTCTCCACAGGAATTTTGAAAATATTTTTTACCTGACCGCTGGCAGGATATTTGTAATACTTTGCCAGCACATCAATAACAATACATATAAAAAGAATTTCAGAATCTTACACCAAATTTTGCCCTTCACTACACTAATATTAATACAGAGAAAAGCTACTGCATTTCTACTTGTGTAACTAAAAGCAGAGTTTTGCCTTAAGCAACATGAGTGCAAATGGCAAGGTATTAAAAACACAGATGTAGAGAGGGAGGTCCATGTGTGGAAATGGTTTATATTAAGAGGCAGTTGCTGAAGCATATGAGAGTTTTAGCCATGCAAGGACCATTTGGCCCAATATTTTTCTTTGTGAGTAGTAGTTTTAAAGAAATCTATCATAAAGATAATTTGTTCTACTTACCTATAAGCGCCTCAGATCACTCCCCCTCTCCTTGCACCCTGGACCAGACCTGAAATCCTGGTTGTCCATATACACAGTTGGGGTTAACAGTGCAGCCATTATTTTTTTCACAGCATCAGGGAATTATTTCTGGTGAATCAGAATGTTGTCGCTTGTGACAAATGGCTGCATAGAATGCATAAACCTTTTATTTTCCCTGCACACTAAAGGCCTGCACAAAATGTCAATGTTTCATTGTAACACCTGCAGAAATTTCTGAAAATAAAGGTTTAGTAAAATATTAATTCAGGTCTCTTCATGTTGAATAAAGATGATAGAAAATATTAAGCAAAATGATTACCCTTTTTCTTTGCCTCCTGGGTACCCTCGACACCTGCCTTCAGCATTGCTAATAACAGACTAATCATAGGTGAGTAATACTCCAATAATAGAGTGATACTCTAATAATAGATGAATAATATGCTTATCTTGTTTTTTGGTTGCCTTTCTGAGACGTAGATCTTGGTCACTGTGGTCAGAGCTTCTGATGCCTTCATCAAAATATTCCTCAGGGTCATGGTTGACTGTGTGGAAAAAAAACATCAAGCATGGAGTTAATGATTGAATCATAACAGACCATTGTTGTAATTCTAAACTTTGCAATTAATTTAATGTTTAATTTTTCTTTTCATGACATTTAAACATTAAGAAAATAATACAATTACTTTTAAGATATCTTGTGCTGTTTCCCCTGTCACAGGACTCTGTACTGTTTCCAATGACTTGGCCATGCTTAAATCTCTGAATAGGTAGAAGTCTCTACATGATTTGTGTGTCTGGAGATTGAATCATTGCTAATGTGTTTTGCACTGAAAGATCCTATTGTGCCTGTGGAGTAGGTGGATCTCCTGTTTTTGTTTACTGCCAGACTGAGTTTGGGTGGCCTCTGGGGAGTGTGTGTTTGTGTGAGTGGACATGTGAAATCAGCAGAGGTCTGGGCATATGCCAGACAACTTCATTTTGGCTTGCTACTAGTACTCTCTACACTAGAAAAACAATAATACATTTGTCTGAAAATTGTACACACCGTAGAGAATATTATTTTATTCATAATAACACAAAATAAATCCAGAGGCTCTTTGATGGTGAAGATGGAGAGGAGGCAGGTCTAGAAGGCAAAAGTAATGCTTCTGTTTGAGTCTTGTTGGCTATACCTTTTTTTATCTGAGCTGAACAGCCTAGAAAAGGCAGGAAACATCCCCAGATCCTGCTCTGTGTCCTGACCATGAGAGTTTGGGCTCCTACCAAACATTATGGACTATGTGGCAAGTGACTTTCTGCTCCTCCAGATCCTGGCCATGTCACACAGGCAGGTGGGACATGTGGAGGAGGCTGTCCAGGCAGACACTTTCGGGGCTTACCCACAGTGCAGGAGAGCATGTACCTGAATACATTTTAGTGCTCAGTGCACACAAGATTTTCCCTGAGCAAGCTAGCTGAATGGCCCTAAGCTGGATCAAAAAGGTTTCAGAAGGTAATCAGTGTAGCTGGCTGGTGAACTGAGCTTCAAAGTCACTTGATCTTGCAGGGTAGATATTATCACCTCAAGATTTATACTTGCTTAAAAATAGCACTGGTGCTGAGGAAATGAAAACTCCTCACTAACCTACAACACTCAAAGGATGCACAGTTACTTTTGCTTGCCACTTTCCACTGTTGTTTGTTTGTTTTTAACCTCTGTCTTTTTTCAATAATCTGAACAAGTAGCCAGAAGTCACTCACTCCTAATCAAGGAAGACACTGTAGTCTGTGAGTCCCAGATAGCGGCACTGGTGTAGGCTCTGTATATGTGTAATAATTTATTACCATAAATGGCTCCATCTACCAGCATATGCATAATTGCTTATAACTTAGCAGATTCAATAAAGCTGCTGTTATTTCTTGCAAATGTCTTTTTGAGCGTGTCTCTTAGTATGGCGCCAGAAGTGAAATAAATTTCACTACTTAGCTTCTTTGCTGTGACTGACTGAATGACTTCAGGCATGGCTGTGAGCAATACTTCATCCTCAGATGCAATGCATACACATGGTTTATTTGTGAAAAACAGATTTTCCAAAGATGCATTGAAAACTAGACAAAATAGATAAAGGAAGGGAAAGTAATCAGGATGCCACACTGATTATAAAACACAAGGCAGAGGATATATATATATATATTTATTTTTTTTTTTTACTATATAATCTTGAATACTTTGGAAAAATACCTAAGAGAAATGTAATGTTTCTTATTACATCAACCGGCAATAAAATTAAAATCAGAACAAAGAATAGGATTTATGTGAAAGTTTGGCATACATACAGATGAACTTCTCAGATGCTGGAAAGTGCTAAGAATCAGCAACAATGAAGCTACCAAGCTTATATTGTCATGGCATCGGAGCTGGACTGTGTTATTGATCACCAAACCGGCAAAAAAGCCAAGGACAGAAACAGCTGAAATAACAGATGATTCACACAAGGTCAAGTACAGACATAAACATAAAATGAAGCAAACCAAATCAGGTCTTGTGCGCTGAGGGGTAAGCAACATAGATGTTACAGGAAAGCATTTGACAGTTGCGACAGTCACTTTTTTCATGATGTTGCCTCCAGAAAAGAAATCACGAAGCAAAAATATACATGTAATGATAGAACAATTCCCCTTAATTTTACAGCATGCAGATGGTGAGAGTAAGATCTTCTTTGGTGGGCTTGCCTTCACGAATACCTGTTAAGTAAACCCTTGGGAAGCAAAGATTAAAAATTGTGTATATGTGCGATGGCAGCCATGACCATGGCAACTGGCTCAAACTATGGAGTAGCAAGCTTTACAAGAAACAGCAGGATGGAGTTACAAGAGGTACCTTCCCTGCAGACTGGCACAATGCTCTGGGCAAAACTTGTTCAATAGTACTCATGGGGAGTTATTTCGGGGTGACATGCACTGACAGGTCCAGCCAAAATTAGGTCTCACAGACAGCACCTTCAGAGCACAGCTGGGAAGCACAGAGAGCCCCTCCCCTGCTTTTTGGAGGCAGGGAATGGACAGAAAAGCTTTGAACAACATAACGTAACAATAACATTATGCTGTGTATGATTCCAGCTTAATGCATTTCATGTAGGAAGATACTTCATTTGTACAGAGATGCTTTTTGGGACAATTCATACCTGCTTGAAGACCAGCACTTAGAAATCAGCTGAGTTGAAAGCAATGCAATCACCATCAAGGAGTTGCAATTCCCTTCAAGAATAAATAAATAAATAAATAAATAAAATACAACACAAATTGACAACCATGTGGAAATGCAGAATCTTAAATAAAGTTATACAGCTAATGGAATGGATGAGCAATATGGTAGCTATTAAAAACCAGACAAACCATACATGTGTATTGTTCAAATCTAAAATAAAATCACATGATGTGGAAGAGAAATAGAATTGCCCTGTAATTAAACTGATAATTGAATGTGTTCAGTTTCATATAGGAAAATAGATGTATACCAGTTCTGTAAATCAAGTACATACACTTCTGCATTCATGTAGTTCATACTCATGTTAACTATTTCTTGACACAAAAACTATGCAGAAATGTTCTTAAATTTACAGGTTAAGGAAAATTGCAAACGCTTTCCTGAATGCATCTGCAAAGCAGCTTATGTTATTCATCTCTAAAGCAAAAAAAATATGTATTGTGCATTTCCACAGCATGCACAGTTTTTGAAGGAAGAAAAAATTGTGCAAGAAGGAAAGAAAGTTGCCTTAACAGCCCTTTCTATATATTGAAGGAGGGAGGGTGCTCTGCTGTGTGTGACCCCAAGCACAAGGTTCGGGATCAGAGATGTGGGTATAACTCCATGCTTTTTCTCACAGCATGGTCAAAGAGAAATCACCAAAGGCAAGGCAAGTAAGTTCCTTCATGGCTCCTGAACCAGCAGGGTGAATCAGAGACCCACAAAGAAAGCCTCAGCTCAGCATCTGGAAAGAGTGAGGCATCTCAGGAAGCTGAGCCACAATGACACATACACACAGGAGGTCCTCGCAGAGCGGTCGCCAGCTTCCAGTGTGGAGCTGCATTTACGCTTCTGCTCCTCTCTGGAGCATGGCAATTTCATTACTTGGGATTCAAAGTCCTTGGCTGCCATACTGAGTCAGGCTCCTCATCTTTAAAACACAGCCAACAAAACTACTGCCAGCTAGCTTTTGGTAGCCTACCAGTCTGTTCAGATACTGGTGTGCAGCCTGTGAAGAAAGAGGCCCACCTCTCACACTCTGGTGCACAGAAGCATCAGAAAGCAGCTTTAACCTCTACTGGAGAAATATACAGCCTGTGTAGCTGCTGCATAGCCAGAAAAATGGGATCTAGTCCACGCTGGCAACTAAAACATGGGTATTTTAAGATATATATGTTGGTATGCAGTTACTCAAAGCCCAGGCAACCTTTGTGGCTGTTGGAGTGTGGATCTTCTGAATTATTTTATTATATTTAAGTACTTGTAAGTATAATTTTGGATGTTGAAGTGCCCTCTCTACTCCTTCCCACTAGCCCCTCCAGCTACATCCACTCTCTTAGCGCTCAGGCAAGGAAACCACCCAGAGCCCAGTGGGATTTCCGACCCAGGCTCTACACCCATAGTTGGTGAGACTCAGCATTCCCCCTGGTTCCCACCCTGAAATACCTCCACATTTAGATGATACTGTAGTACAGGAGCTTTCCTGCCAAAATGTTCTCCCTAGCATGCTTTTCTAGGAAACTTTACTGTCAGGAGAAACCCCTGCCCCATCTGCTGTGAGATGACAATGACATTTTAATACCACATTTAGAGACACGATGCAGGCTACAGAGTCGGGCTACAGAGTCATGCAACTTTATTACTTGTTTAATTTGAAAACAACCTAGAAAAAAAAAATAATTCTACTCACTTGTGGCTTCCCCATCTGGAGAGCATTGAACTAGTCTCTATGAGAGCTGTCACAAGCATATTGGGTGGATCAGATCCCTGTTTATGTCAGTGGGACGTGCACACTATCATTCATTGATTCTATGGGAGTTTTTAGTACAAGAATCAAGGAGGGACTATGCCTTTCCACTTACTGACATCGTCATATAAATTAGGATCTCCCAGTGTTTTGAATTTATAAGCTGATTAAAAACAAAACCTACATGTGCTGCTCAGTTATACCATTTATTTGCAGGCTCACGAGCTTTACTGGTTCTAGGTGCAAGCCTTAGAAAAAGCAGCAGCTATTGCTATGCGCACTTCAAGCACAGTTATGAAGCCAAACAACTGATATAAATGAGAAAATAGGTGCAATTTCACGTGTCTAATAGAGAGAGCCCTGCAAGGACAGCATGTGCCACTTAGCATGGCTGAGGCCATCATGGTCCCAGGAGAGGCTCTGCTGCTGCATAGTGTTGTGCTTCAGGACACTCCCAACTGTGTGACTGGCTGCACCATGATGCAAACTGCATCATGGAAATCTAAATGGGCCTTCTTTCAGTTGATTTTGGGTGCCTCCCAAATGTAGATTTGCATCCCAGCTGGACATCTAGACCTCATATAAAACTTGTGGAGAAGAAATAATGTTGCTGATATTTTTATTAACGAGATTAATTGCATTATGAAAATGTCCTTTCTTTTTTTTTTTTTTTCTTTTCCCACTACCGTAAAGGAAATCTAGATTATTTGCTTGATGTGCAATTTATTTTTATAAATAAATCTCAGAGACAACGATGTCTCACCCTTAATACATGAGCTTTTGTGGCAGGAGAGCAGTCATACCAAGGGGAGGAGAATTTGGAATTTGGAGTTTGCCAAAAGTATCTCTGTGTGCATGCACTCCACCCAACAGCCAAATTGTTAGCACTAGCCTGCAGAGTAACAGATCATTCTCAAAATTTCCCTCACCCTGATTTGGAGTGGGGATTGATCTCAACTCTCCCACACCCCAGGAGAGCAGATTCACTGCCAATCTGCTGGATAATTGCACTCCCTCTCTCCCATAGAAGCTGTTCTGCTTTGTATGAATAATTAACTAGTCATTGCAGTAGAGGTTTGGATGTGGCTTGCCCACATCCCTGATGAGCAGGCTAACCAGCAGGCTGGAGAATCACTGGCTTACATTTCCCATTTTTCTTTCTGGTCCAACGAATGCTTAATTATTTATACAAAGAGAGGTATATAGCTTAAAGAGAAAAAAAAAAAAAAAAAAAAAAAAAAAAAAAAAAAGGCTAATTTGGGATTGGGAGACCTGAATCCAAGACCTTGCTCTAAATCAAGCCAAAAGGAAATTTGCAAGCTGGTCTCTCTGCTGTCAGTTAATCTCTTGCACTGGTTACCACTGAGTTAAGTCTGGCTGCACAGACAAGAGTGCGCAAGGGAAGGCTTTTACCTCTACATACTGTAGTAATGAAGCCTTGCTGCCAGCTTCCAAAAGAAGATCCAGATTGCTGAGAACCCACCTCGAGCTCAAACCCTTCCCAGGATGCATGGAGAAAGCAAGAGTGATGGAAAGAGGATCCAAAGGGAGTATAAGCCTCAGTGCTATGTCTGCATTATCTGTCCCCTTGTTCCTCTTAGTTGATCATAGGGGTTCCAGGAAATTATACCTGAGCCTTTAGATGCTGTTTTCAGGTTTACTATCTGATGTGAGCTTTAACTTGTCAGCTGAATGGGTGTTCTTTGGCTGCATCCACACTGCCTGGGCTTTTGGGTTTCTTCCAGGTGTGCCATGTATATCTGCCCTGTGTGCAGCAGTGGCATGCCAGCACACACCAGGTGCTTCTGCCACTTGGGGACCTTCTACCAAGGGAGTCACAGAACATGGGCAAAAGTTGTGCCACTCTGCACACTGGCATATAAGTGTGTATGGGCAGTTAGGACACTGTCCTCGAATGCAAAATTAGGCTTAC